CCCATTGACATTACAGACTCATCACTAAGGCCTATTGAAGTTTCCACCCTATTCTCTCATCGCTTTTTACAATTCAAGCTTGGCAATTTTAGTTTGACACCCTTCAGATTTGCTCTCTTCCCCTTCCCCCTTCTTCCGGTGCTCCTATCATGGTACCACCACTACACACTACCTTCTCCCTTCAACCTCAGTCTGTTTCCAGGCCTATGTTGCAGGCGTAAGGACCGGTCATCAGAATCTGATGTAGCCGCCCTCTTTCTCGTGACAGTCATTGTTACACATGTCTTGGTCGATGTTGGCCTCTTCGATGAACCTCCACTTCCCACCTGAGAATGGTTTAATGATTCAACGGACGCTCCAAACCACCATAAGTCCCATAATTATATGTCTCCGACTTTCTGGAAGCGCGACCTCTCCCGATGCGACACCACGCTAGATGTAGCGTCCCTTTCTGGACAGGTGACAAAGTCTTCAAAACACCTCCACCATTCCCCAATCTCAAGAACTTCTCCTGTAATTTGCTGCTCCTCCTTATCCACAGCGCCGACACTGAATCCAGGCCGCTGGGGGGGCGGGACTCAACTCACCGCCAGTCCTGTGTGCCGACCACTATCTCGCTCCACAAAAAACACACGCCTCCATCGATGTTTGTTCTTAACTGCCACCTTTGAGCAGGGGCCTGTGACGTCCAAAACAGGTCAGGCACAGGTCTTAGTTGTACAGGTAGTGCTATGTGATTATATCACCACAAAGCGGCAATACGTTGTTGTCCTGGGTAATTACCATTACCTGCGTCCAGAAATCTTTAGTACACATAGGGACAGTATTGGGTGTCTCAAAGTCATTTGAGGTTGAAAGAACCTCTGGAAAACCGCATAGGCGCCTGCCGCCACGTGCCATTTTGAGCTAATGAACGTCCATACTTCTCAAACTTTCCTGATATAGCCTCGTCCGCTCAAAGGGAACGGTGCGTAACTCTGATCACGTATATGCGTGAAACATATTCGCATTCTTAACTGAAGCTGGTGTGATGCTAAGATTCCGTCCTGAAACTGGTGACTAACGCTTCATAAACCGTTGTGATAGCAGTTTGCGAAAATTCTTTGGCCTCCATTTAATGTACACCATAAAAAATCATATTTGTATGCCAAGTCCCCCCGGATGATCTTTGGCAATAAGACTTGCGCAAACTAGGCGTTATCGTTCCTTTTAAGTAGCCAATCCCTACAGTTTTTACCCGGCGTCTCAGACTAACCGCCTCTTGACAACCATGCACCTATGTTTTTGCAGGGGCGTGACGCCCCACTTCACACTGCAGCCAGGTAACTGACAAGGGACTCGCCTACAAACAGCAGGGGGTGCAGAGCAAAAACCGCACTCAACCGTGGAGGCGCGTTTTCAAAACGAGGTAATAGTCCCCCCGGGAGTTGGGGGAAAGGCAGCGTAGTTTGGGAGTTACGCTATCTTCATCAACTCAAGGCTGAGGGACTGTTCCCCTCTTTTTTGTTTATTCTCTGTTTTCTAATTTGTCCTTAAATTTGTATTGATAAACCCCTGGATCAAAAGTTACAATAAAGTTCCCACATTTTCCCAATGTGTCTAATTTCTTCAACAAGGGGATTTTGATAGTGAAAAAAATAAGATGAAAATGATTGCATATAGTAACTTTCCGAGGAAAAAACAAAATGTAGGGGGATTGCTTGAAGCATTATAAACGATATAAAAAAAATGCCAAAATTTAAGGGCAAATTGATCTGTAACGGGAAGACTCGGTACTTTCCCCCCCTTGTAGGGAAAAAAATTGCTCCACAAGCGAAATTCAAAATATAATTTTTTTTGTGGTTTATAGTTGTCTTATACGTTTTGTCATATCCCATCGCCACTTACCTGGTGGTACCTGTGACCGGGTTTAAGACCCTTTTCCCCCCCGCCCGGCCCGTGGCCAGGGTTCCTTTTTTCCCCTAGTCTTTCAACGAGGGTGTGCTAGCAGTGATAGCTAACAGAATATCCCCGGGGCCCGAATATCAACAAAAACCACAAAACCCAACACACACACACAACACCCCCACAACACCACCACACAACACAACATTTACGGTTCGGGATTTTTCTTTCACAGGGGTTAGGCTTTTATCAATGCTTGTATGAAACCCCCTTAGAAATTCCCGCCTTTTTACAACTTCGGTGAGTACTTAAAAGTTTACTCCTCTCCCAGTGCGGGTTATATTGTATTGTTCCAGTCACGGTATTTTGCCTTTTTGTTATTAGGAATACTTTGTAAAGGTCTGTTCCCCCGTAACCCATTGTAGGGTCGAGCCTCCCTATGTGCCCAAAGACCCCTAGATTTAAACGTTTTTAATAAACATATCAATAATAATTGCCTTAGGATTTGGGGTTTTTGCATCGATAAAGTGTTGTAAAGTAGGGTGTAAACATATGTTAAAGGAAGGGGTTTTAATCTAAAAGTATGTGTCTCCGACAAAATTTTTAATGGCTCAACTGGTACCCCCTTTGGCTCACAAGAAGTACCCGGCATGAAACCCCCGGGGGGAGCGGGAAACTGGGCACGTTTCGTACACCCGCTGCCCCTCTTCCTTAGCGATATTGGTTCCTGGGGTGTTTGCCAACTGTTGTGGTTCGCATCCCGGGGAAGAGGACCAAAATAACCAGGCTGGAAAATAACAACATTGAATTTATTAAGTTATTTAAAAAAAAAAATCGCGTGCTCACCACCCAACTAAAAATTGACCATAAATTTTGTTTACAGTTCCATCCATCAACTCTGAAAATTCCCGCAGTTCAGTTTATATATTTTACCACTTCATTGTCGGAGACGTTGCAGGTGTTACAAAAAATATAAATTGCGGGTGAATATAGTCGGAAATTTATGGAGGATTATGTAACGCAAAGTTAACGCAAGATGATGTAACGCAAAGTTAACGCAAGATGATGTAACGTAAGATTAATGTATCACTGACATCATGTGGGAACATGTTTTAAGAACCACGAGTAAGACAATGTGCCGGGATAAGATAAAACAAACACCGTGACACTGTATGATCAACACAAACACTTCACAAAACACAAAATGGAATACACAATACTCAAGTAACTAACTTCTTTGGTTATTTGGAAACGAATTCGTATACTCACTACCCGACTCCTTCAAATGGCCACATATATTTTTCAGTTCTGTCCAGTAGGACAATAAGACTCTTGTTTACATTTGGAGTGACCAGGGTCCTGGGACAGAAATGTTTACAGTAAAATGTGCCGCTGTAAACATTTTCGTCTTTTTCCAACAGCTCCATTAACAGGAAAATGTTTACATCCCTCCGTTAACAGGAAGAGAGTTATTATTATAGTGAAAAACTCTAAACCCGTAGAGTAATGCAACGTGTGGGGATTGAAAGGCAATAAAGTTGGCAAAAAAAGTGAGGAGATGATTGGCACTTTTTCCTTGAATCAATAGCGCCTCAAGACGAGTGAAACACAGAAATAGAAAATATTTCTTTAGATCGTCACGCTTCGAAGTGGAACGACCTCGATGATGAAGTGGAACGACCTTGATGGATGAAGTGGAACGACCCCGATGATGAAGTGGAACGACCTCGATGGATGAAGGAACCGAGACCCGACCCCCCAATTGCATCTAGGCAAGAACAAGCAAACGCGCCTGTACACACACACAACTATTGTTACAGGCGGAAGACTCACTTTCCGACAGGATCTGCGGGGGTGTGATTTCAGAACCAGGAAATAACCTAACTGATTACCGCCTCTCTCCCCACTGCTCTCCCCACTCCCTGTTCTCACTCCACTACCTGTTGTGACCCCACTACCTGTTGTACGAATCATTGCTCCCCCCTTTCCCTGTTGTGACCCCACTACCTGTTGTGCCATCACGATCAGCAGGTATTTAGAGAGGGTCCTGTGTGTTTCCATGTCTCATCATCAAGCTCACAACAGTAAAACTTTCATTTGGTAGTTTCATTACGCTTTCTGTGTAGAAATTTATCTCCATCAAGGGGTCGACAAGGGGGATAAGCCCCCCCTCTCTCCCTCTACTTTCACACACTGGTAGTGCAGGTACGGACTGAAGGGGGTCACGACCCCCCTTTCCATTAGCAGAGATGCAGGAAGCTCTGTCTTGCACCGAAGCTTTATTAAGACATACCAGAACATCCATTTATGTCACCTTGTGTTCCTTATCATGCAGATTTAGATTGTTACTGACTGGATCTAAATCAAAAGTAGATAAAATGGACAAATGACTGCTAATATCTTTACAAGAGAACTAACACTATCCGTTAAGCTTTCGTTACCCTTTATCCAACCTTTGGGTGACAGTAACTCCATGCCCATCCTGTGGATGGTAGTGACACCATACAGATCCTGTGGCTGGTAGTAACACCTTACCCTTCCTGTGGGTAAAATAACAAAAGTAACACCATATCCATCCTGTGGATAGTAGTGACGTCATACAGATCCTGTGGCTGGTAATGACACCATACCCTTCCTGTGGGTAAATGTAACACCATATCCATCTTACATAAGAAACATAAGAAAGGAGGAACACTGCAGCAGGCCTGTTGGCCCATACTAGGCAGGTCCTTTACAATTCATCCCACTAACAAACATTTGACCAACCCAATTTTCAATGCCATAAACATCTTGAAAGGTGGTCATAACAGAGTTACATAACAAGTACAGTAACTGGGTCCCAGCATTTGCGAGATGAGCAAACTATTGGTGATAAACTCTTTATTAAATTAATGAATTCAATTTTATAATGGAAATGAAGACAAAACTATTAGTGCCATTTTAAATATAATATTCAACATGTAAAATGTATTATAAAGGAACACACACACACACACACACATACACACAAGCACTATTGTTACTGCAGCTCTGTGTTGTGTGGTCATCGGTTAGTATGAAGCAACGCTTACCACAGTGTTTTTCAGTAATTTATGATACTAGCGTCCACTGCTGTTTTCTGACAAACAAAATACAACACCACCTCTCCCAGTTAACAGAATTTCACCTTCACGAACATAATACCATCACTCGTGGCTGTCATCGTGTCCTCGACGCCCAAACCACTTTCGTCTGGTAATAAAATACATATTTAGCTCTTAATGAATCAGCGTCATCAAAACTGTGGTGGTGAACACCTTCGAGACTGAGGGACTGATTACCTCTTCCTCTGCTGTCTCCAGTTCCAACACCTTCAAATCACTTCTATATCGAACCGATAAAGTCACTGGTTGGCTGAACGTTTCCAGAATGAAGATACGCGAGGTGTTACACATGTCTTATTCATCAACTTATCAGCATTGCTTATCATTAATGCCTTGATGTTTGGCTCTTTCATACAGGATTTCACTCTTTGCTGAATATAGAAATGAAAGGATTGCAGATAGGGTATATCATATTACCCAATTTAGAACTCGATACCGTGGATTCAAATTAAATAGATTCCTATTTAAAAGGGAAATAGAAATGCAATGGTCACGTAAAAGAGGTGAAGAGAAAAAGAACAAACTGCCTAGCTGCCTAGCATGTGCCAGTAACATCATTATAATGATACACAATACTGACAAGGTTGATGCATTGACCACATCAACTTTTCCTCTCCACTGCTCCTGTCAGCATATTTACTCACTTCTGCATTTGACTGAAGAAGCCTACTATGGAGGCGAATTGTTTCTAAAATAAAGATAACTGACTGCTGTACACGTCTTGCTCATGGACCAGTAGACTCACTGTGGTGCTCATAAGAACATAAGAAAGAAGAAATACTGCAGCAGGCCTACTGGCTCATGCGAGGCTTAAGCCAATGACTTAACCTAATCAGGTCAGTCACATTCAGGAGGAGCACGACATCTGACCTAGAAGCACAAGCTAGTCAGATCCAGCTTACACCCACTCGTCCATAAGCGTTTTTGTTCTCGTATAATACCGATAACATTAGTATGGTAGTTGTTGTGGTGAGGGGGGATGTGTGTGGTTGTGGGCAGAAGCTCTCCTGTATGGTGGATAGACCTACCGCGTTGCTACTCTTGTGTTATTTAGTGTAAACCGAAGGAGAATGTTGGTTACCTGCTGAGGTAGACTGAGGTAAGATTCCCTCTTGTGAAGTAAAAATCTGTTTCTCTTCACGTAATAATGATATAATATATCCATGTATTTCTTTAAGGAACAGAAAATGCACTCCTTGAGTTTATTACTCTTCTTAACGATCTTGTATAAAAAATAAATACGTACCTGCCTAGCATGAGCCATTATGCCTGTTGTAGTTCCCTTCCAGTTTTATGATCTCATATTCCGAGGAGTGATTACGGTACAGTGAGGAAAAAATTGAGCACATTTTAGTGAAAGTTGAGCTTGTTCTTGCTTCCACGGCCTAACAAGGTTTGGCTTTGATGAATAAAACATGTGTAACACTTGACTTTCTTTGCTGCCGGAAATATTCGCTTGCACAACAGGATTCTTCAGTCGAAACCTAGCGAATATAACACTGGAGACAACAGTAGTTTTGACGTGATCAGTCCCTTGGTAGGTGATTCAGTCCTTGAGGCCTGACGGACTCCAAACACCAGCTTGAAACCGATGGTGATACTCAGGGTGAATCAAATTTGCACAAGTGACTTTCCACCTAATTCATCACATTGTCTCCAGTCATTAACATGATCTGAAGAAAACAAAATCACAGTACCATTTATCACCCGCACAAATCAGCAATGGTGTTCCTCCAGGTGAACTCTTACCCCCAGAGGAAAAAATCAGAAATGGTGTTCCTCCAGGTGAACTCTTACCCCAACAGGAAAAAATATTACCACAAGCAGACGCGCACTGCTCGTACGTTTTATCACACATACACATCACCAGAGAACTGTGACACACTCTCACCTCACCACTCTCTAATCTTATCTTTCACTTATCTGTGAATGTTCGTACACACTTAATGTCGACGGAACTCTTATTTACCGTATTTTGGCGAGGATGTTTGTTCTCACCAGGTGGTGATCACCTTTCATAAGCAAAGTTCGAAGACTGATGACGGTGTTGATGTCTTGCATGTGTGTACTCACCTAATTATGGTTGCAGGGTTCGATTCGTAGCTCCTGACCAGTAGGTCACTCCCTCCCTGCTCCGTAAGCTTTATCATACGTCTTTGTGTGTGTGTGTGTGTGTGTGTGTGTGTGTGTGTGTGTGTGTGTGTGTGTGTGTGTGTATGTGTGTGTATGTGTGTGTGTGTGTGTGTGTGTGTGTGTGCTCGCTCATGTAGTGGATTACTGCAGATATTTATACCTTATATCATTCTTTGTTTCTTTATCATCGAAATCAATATCATTACTTTTTCAACCCAGTATGGCCACTTTAATGCTCTCAAATTTTTGAGGACCTAACAAATGCCCAAGGAACTCAGACCGGAGGACTCTAAATAACGTTCACGTGAGAACAGTGAGAGGAGAGGGGTGGAAGGTGTGGTTGTAAAGTAAGGAGTGTGGGGGAGTGACTAATGTAGCCTCTTCTGTCTCCGCTAGTCACCGCTGTATTTATGAATGTATATATATATTATATATATATATATATATATATATATATATATATATATATATATATATATATATATATATAATATATATATTTATGTATATATGTATGTATGTATTCTTAGGTACATAGTGTAGACCAAATTTCTTCTTCACTCTCTTCTTTTCATGCGTAATATATATTTCCCCGCTCTGGGATAATGGAAATTTCCTCATAAAAATCGTAGTTTCTGTGTATGGGATAGGCTATCCTAAGAGTTGTTAATTCCTAGGTAATAGTAACTCCAGCTCTGCTGAAACAAAACCTTTTTGAAGCTCTTGTAGCTGGCATAAAATACCGACACAATGACAATATAAACACTTAAGCAGTATAGTGTGATCTTTTATTGACAACGTTTCGTCCATACAGTGGGCTTTATCTACCCAGGTAGAATTGTTTGTGACTTTTTAAAGCCCACTGCGTGGGCGAAACGTTGTCAATAAAGGATCACATTATACTGCTTAAACAGCTGCTGAACTCTCAGTGCAATACTTGACGATATCCTCACTGACCTACTGAAGGATGACAGGTTGACAGATTTGGGGTATAGATTCAGCCTGAAGAAACTAGGCGAGTACAGTCAGGTAGCGTGTCTGGAGGGAGGAACCACCACCAACCTTGTGCTTACTAACCCACACGGGTTTACCGTGTGGGTTACTAAGGTTATAAGCCTACATTGTATTGTATGAGGTTCGCCGGTACTGCCGGCCCGGGTTTTCTCCAGATGGCGACCCGACCTGAGCCTGTCCATCACATTACACTTGCGCAGTTGACGAAATAACTGATTTCAAAACTGGACTCCAGGGAGCCACACTCATGTTTTTTTTTTTTTTAACACGGACCTTTCGTTACATAATTTTACATAACTGTTGCAGGTTTCAAGACTATAGAATGAAGCGTTCTCGTGTTATTGTTCGGAAACGAGGAAGGCGGAGAACGTTCCTCTGTAAACTGAATTAACGAAAAGCAAAATGCATAGTAAGGTTGGTTGGTTAATGAAGTTGAAACTCTATCGACTACGATAGAATCACTAACATTTTCCCTACCAGACAAAAATATTTTAATCGTTAAAATGAGGATTAAAGTAAACTCTCAGCATATATATGCTGAGAAAAATACACCTGTTAGTGAATGCATACCGTGCAATAAAATATCCCTAATAGGTATAAATTATTATTACCTTTATTATAATTAATAACATTACTATCACTATTACTATATTAATAATAATAATATTATTATTATTGTGGAATTTTTTTACATAATTTTCTAAATGTAATAAAATATGATGCTGATTTGACCCTTTCGAGAAAATTTAATGTGTGAACACTGGACTGAATTGTGCAATGTAATTAGGCTTTCTCGACGGTCATTGATGTATATCGGCCTCAGTCCATAACTTAGAAATTGATGACATGTTCCTGCTGAAGAATTGGGATAAATTGTGTGGAAAACCCTTACAAGTCGGCGACAGGACGAAAAAATAGAGAACTTCAATGAATCCTTCCCAACACACCTTAGCCAAGTGACGCTTACCCATAACATACAGTAGTTTTTACGTTGGCCATCGTAAATCCTATCTGCTAGGGTAGTGTTAGGGTGTGTTCCATCAGCATTAAGTGTCTTCCAGTAATTAAATGGTAAGTGTTAATACCAAATTTTGTGTACCCAGCAAGCCTAATCCTATACAGTCCACAATTTCAATTTAGCAGAGTAGATGGTTTTTGTATTGTAACTATTAATTTAATTTCAGGTCTAGCTTCTTATGAGATTGGTGAAGAAGTGGGCATCGAGGGAGTTACAGTTCAGTGACCTGCTATGACTAAGTCCCACTTACGTCACCCAAATTACTTCCAGGTAATAATTCAGGTAATGCCCTGTAAGCCTCCTGCAAATAATGTACTCACATAATAATAATTCACAATAATTATTATGTCAATAACAGGAAGTGTATTCCAGGCTATTTATAGTTCAGGTCACTTATCTTTGTTCAATGCTTAGCGTGCAATTTGGTGCTCAAGTAATTTATTTGAGTTATTAGATGGTTGCATGACTCGAGGCTGGTGGCGTTCCGGACTGTCCCTTCCACAACAATGTACGCTTACGCTGCTTAAATTATAACACGAACTGTGGAGTGTTCCTTCCCTTGTAATGCTAACTGCTTAGCCATATCATCCGTAGTAAAGAGAGAATGGGTCAAGCCGTGAGCAGGTACGTGCAGGATCTTAGTTGAGCGGTAGGTAGGTACCAGTGTTAGTTCCTACCCTCCACCCGGAGGGCCCAAGAAAGAAGACAGAAGGAAGAAGATGAACGACACCCCCAACCCGGGGGCCACCGCCAGGTTACCATCTGGAGAAGACCCGGGCCGAAGTACCGGCAAATCCCTAATGAATGAATGAACCAGCGTTAGTAGAGAAGTAGATAGGTATCTGGGTGTTAGCCGACTGCTGCGCGTCTCATGCTAGACACCCTTAGACTCCACGGTGGAAATAAATCACACTGGTTTTTCTCGGATTATTCTGGGTTAGTAATCACAAGGAGTTAATTATCCAGGGAGGGGGGGTAATAATTATAGTGGATGATCAAGCAGTGTTTCCCGTTGCTTGATAACACACAGTGGGTGATCAAACACAGTGTTTCCCTTTGCTTGAAAACACAAAATAGGTGTTGAATAACAGTGGCATAATACCACTACATCACGACTCGCAACACTTGAAGGTATGCACGGACAAAATTTCTGTTCTCCCTGAATATGCCTCGTTTTCTCTCGCTCACTTTTCGTATATACGCTTCATGCATCATATACATGGATATCATATTTTGTACCTTTCCCTATGTGTTTTTCTCCTCTCCCCTCAACTTTCCATCATTTCTTTGTTTCTTCTACATCTTAAACTAACATTTAACACCTGAGAGTGAATTATTATCTTCGTATCCATTGCTACGTAGTAATCTTTTGTTTTGCAAAGGATTAGTTAATGATCCAAATCGGACCTAAACGTCGTAGTAAGTTATTTGTGCTTTATTCCAATCACGGTATCGTGCCATTTTATTCTTTAGTTTTTTGTTTTCTCTGTTTTTATCTTGTAAATGAGGTCAACAAGTTACGTTAAATTTATGAATGTTTGACCAGAGACAGGACAACATTTAATCGAAACTATGCACACCTAGTGTCATGGAAACACTGTTTTTTCTTCCTTGACGGACAAACCACAAGAAGAGCAACACAAGAGGATTTTCCACACACACACAGCACCGGGTGAGAGGCGTACGTCGCATCTGATACTGACACACTGCCGGGGGAGCCTTGCTTACCGCTCTATTCACTGTGTCGTATTCCCCTTACCCCTTCCCGTTCCCTCTTCCCCTCCCCAGCCCCTCACAGCAGCTGATTGGCGGGATGGTCAATTGGGTTTCATGTCTATTGACTACACGAGGGTCAGTAAGGCTGCATACAACCTGTTCACAGTAAGTCAAGACACCCCTAAAATTGGGATTAAAGTAACTACGCTGACAGATAGACACCCAATGGAAATAAGCTGCATTTATTTTACTGGGTTACCCCTGGGATAAACAGACATAATAATACAAGAACATTATAAAATAAATCTTATATGTGCCCAAAGCCTAAAAGAATACTCTCGTTGTATACATTCTTGACAACCAATGAACGCGAACACCAGTTTACCAGTGAATTCTTTATGTGAGTATACAAGCGTAGCAAAGTACTTGATGAGTAAGCAGGATTCCTCACTGCTAACATACGACCATACAGCCTTATAAAATTTTTATTCTGCTACGTCCTTTTCCCTTACTGCATATATGAAAGTGATATTGCCATATTGTCTAGGTAATGTGTTGCTCACTGCTGGAAGTGCACGATTCAGTCGCTAGGGCTTCGGGTTCCACTCCCCGGAACGGTGATACGTACAAACAAGTTCCCTGACACCGGCTGCCCTTACTCACTCAGCTAAATTTTGCGGGTCGAATCCATAGGAGGTAAAACTTACTATGCAAAGTCCTGTGTAAAGTAACTCCGGACCCACAGGACTCGTATTTATATTAATAATACTAACATAATAATAATGAAATTATTATTATTATTAGTAGTAGTAGTAGTGTTATTATTATTAGTGTTATTAGTATTATTACTACTGCGAGAAAGATTAAACTTAATAAAATATCACTGTTGGATGCTGGTAATATGTTCTAGTTGGTCCACCAGTGTTGTTGTGATGTTGGAGTTGGTCCACCAGTGTTGTTGTGATGTTGGAGTTGGTCCACCAGTGTTGTTGTGATGTTGGAGTTGGTCCACCAGTGTTGTTGTGATGTTGGAGTTGGTCCACCAGTGTTGTTGTGATGTTGGAGTTGGTCCACCAGTGTTGTTGTGATGTTGGAGTTGGTCCACCAGTGTCGTTGTGATGTTGGAGTTGGTCCACCAGTGTCGTTGTGATGTTGGAGTTGGTCCACCAGTGTGTTGTGATGTTGGAGTTGGTCCACCAGTGTCGTTGTGATGTTGGAGTTGGTCCACCAGTGTTGTTGTGATGTTGGAGTTGGTCCACCAGTGTCGTTGTGATGTTGGAGTTGGTCCACCAGTGTCGTTGTGATGTTGGACTTGGTCCACCAGCGTAGTTTTGTTGCTAGAGTTGGTCCACAAGTGTTGTCCTGATGCTGGAGTTGGTCCACCAGCGTGATCTTGATGCTGGAGTTGGTCCACCAGCGTGATCTTGATGCTGGAGTTGGTCCACCAGCGTGGTCTTGATGCTGGAGTTGGTCCACCAGCGTGGTCTTAATGCTGGAGTTGGTCCACCAGCGTGGTCTTGATGCTGGAGTTGGTCCACCAGCGTGGTCTTGATGTGGAGTTGGTCCACCAGGTGGTCTTGATGTGGAGTTGGTCCATCAGCGTGGTTTTGATGTGGAGTTGGTCCATCAGCGTGGTCTTGATGCTGGAGTTGGTCCATCAGCGTGGTCTTGATGCTGGAGTTGGTCCACCAGCGTGGTCTTGATGCTGGAGTTGGTCCATCAGCGTGGTCTTGATGCTGGAGTTGGTCCACCAGCGTGGTCTTGATGCTGGAGTTGGTCCACCAGCGTGGTTTGATGCTGGAGTTGGTCCACCAGCGTGGTCTTGATGTGGAGTTGTTCCACCAGCGTGGTTTGATGTGGAGTTGGTCCACCAGCGTGGTCTTGATGCTGGAGTTGGTCCACCAGCGTGGTCTTGATGCTGGAGTTGTTCCACCAGCGTGGTCTTGATGCTGGAGTTGGTCCACCAGCGTGGTCTTGATGCTGGAGTTGGTCCACCAGCGTGGTCTTGATGCTGGAGTTGGTCCACCAGCGTGGTCTTGATGCTGGAGTTGGTCCACCAGTGTAGTCTTGACGATCAGCTCTGTGCTGTATCTCGGTGAGACAGTGCCTGTATTCTAACCTTACTGAAGTACATCCTCGACTGAAGTGCAACTTTCTCCGCTGGAAAAAACCTGAACGAGTGAAATGCAATAAATTTAACTGAAATGCAAACAGCCTTGACTGAAATACATAATGGTCGACTGCAATAAAACGTGTGTAGAACCAGCGGCCAGAATGGTTGAGTGAAGGGAACTAATGCGTGTTAGAGAAAGAACCAGGAGAGAGAGAGAAAAAAAAAAAGAGAGCAGTATAAACACGAAGAAGCAAGCAAGTAAGCAACAGCAGCTGCATCAGCAGCCTTAACACATTAACAGCATAAATGGCACCAGATCAGCAGCACGCCAGCCCAGCAGCAGCTCACAGCTCACCAGGAGTAGCTCATTAGCAGCAGCAGCAGCAGCAGTAGCACTCACGCCAGTTCAGTAGCAGTAGCAGCAACACCAGCAGTTCACAGCTCAGTAGCAGTGCCAGGCTTTGGGATCAATGTAAGTGCTGGTGGTCACGCGACAGGAGAATGCTGAATGGTGCTGTGATGCGCTATGCTCACCTAGTTGTTCTTGCAGAGGTCGAACCATAGTTCCTGCCCCAACCCCACAAGTAGCTATTGGTCGGTTAATGAGGTTTAAAGCCTTAACGACCCTCGACTACACGACGGTCATTAAGGCTTCAAGTCAACAATACTTTAATCCCTAAAGTAAGGAATAAAGTGAACTCCTAACATATATACACTGAGAGAAATACACCTCTCGGTGTTTATATATATATATAATATATATATATATATATATATATATATATATATAATATATATATATATATATATATATATATATATGTAATGTATATATACAAAGTGAGAGAGAGAATGCCAACATGCATAATTTAAATTCATTTCTTGGGCTGAAAACTATTTAAACTTAATTGAATGACCAACCCGAATAAATAAATTAAAAAATTAATACTCACGGCTATCGAAGCCATTAAGGAACATTCGAACACACTATATGAACGCCGTTACTATGGTTACGGCGTCTATCAACAAACATGGCGACTAAGGTCACTAAATGGACACGAGAACGAGGAGGCAGGAAAGATTTCGCAGATCCTACACGCAGGAGTCATCAACGACTTCAAATAAATATCACAGGCCTCGATGCCGCTATGATGAGGGACATGGCAAAATACAAGGGAGGAGACAATGTGGGAAAGAGGCAAGAAAAAGAAGTAAAGATGGAGAGCCGTGAAGACGCGGTCATCCGCAAGAGAATTGAAGAACTACGTGCTCAGCTCCATGACGTCACTCTCAAGGAGGTGAGCCCTTTTTTTTCCTCTTCTTTTTCTCAGAATTGTTACAGTCATTGTGCGGCTACTCTGATCTATATTGTTATTGTGTGACTGTCCTTGATCAAGATCCCAAAATCAAAACTATCTCTAATATGTCTGAATATTTGTTCACGTACCTTTCTAGACCAACTGTGGCTTTCCTGATCTGTATATATTGTGTGGCAGTCCTAGTCAATATACTGCATCTGTGTTTGTGTTTTATACCATACATCTCCTTCATTTACAATTATTTATGATACTTCTGTATTTACACGCTAGTCCTGATTCAGTCACTTTATTTTTATTCAGATACATTTGAGGAAACTCTACTTATCTATGTCTCTCAAGAAAATGTCTTCACAAACATAACATCAACATGTGGAGTGTTTTCTGTGTTTCAGTACCACACGCACCTGTGCAAAACTCACGGTCGATGTTGGGGCTGTTACTGCCCTCGCCGTAGCAACTTCAGAATAGAATATTAGATAAAATGTTACTTAGGGAACACGATAAAGCAGATGAAGCAAATGCCAGAAAATTGACACGGAGGATAATGAGAACTTTCAAAACAAGATCAATTATGTCTATGATGGTACAATTCAAATCATTTGAGTTCTCACATCCTGGAATATCTCTGTGCTCAACCCAGAAGGCGGTAGGAATCAGAGCTGGAAAATGCAGAGGCTGTTGTTGCCATAAAGTCACCTAAACATTTAAGCTACTGGAAAGACTTCAAAGTACTTGGAACGTATTTTCTAAAGCGATGGAGAGAGATACCTGATAATATACACCTTAAGGTTACTGGAGGACCAGGTGGAAGGTTACTGGAAGGCCAGGTCGAAAGTTACTGGAAGGCCAGGTCGAAGGTTGCTGGGAGGCCAGGTCGAAGGTTACCGTAGGACCAAGTCGAAGGTTATTGGAGGGCCAGGTCGAAGGTTACTGGAAGACAAGATCGAAGGTTACTGGAAGGCCAGGTCGAAGGTTACTGGAAGACAAGATCGAAGGTTACTGGAAGGCCAGGTCGAAGGTTACTGGAAGGCCAGGTCGAAGGTTACCGTAGGACCAGGTCGAAGGTTATTGGAGGGCCAGGTCGAAGGTTACTGGAGGACCAGGTCCAAAATTTACAAATTACCATAAGAACGTATTGCAATGAGAGATGTTGGAGGAAGTGCAAAATAAACCCAGAGAAACGCAAGGCACATTGGGCACAATAAGAAAACACTGTCAACATCCGTGGTGTTAGACTCTACAATCTACAACGGTCAGGTATAAAAAAAAAGCCAGAACAAATGGAAAAATCTCCAAGATGAAACTAGATCACTGCTTCCCCCCAAATGCCAGATCAACCAGGCTGTGAAAGCTGTGTGGGCCAGCGGCCAGATCAACCAGGCTGTGAAAGCTGTGTGGGTCAGCGGCCGCTAACAACAGCAGCGTGGGTGAACAGGCGCTCAACAAGGATGCTTGGATAAATGGTCAAGCTGGTAGGATAGAATAGCTTTTGAAATCGGTATGTAAAGGGGATGTGAAGAAAAAACGCCTTGTTGAGCAGGCTTTCATTGGGACAGTTTTTAATTCTGAGTAAAGCTTTTAAAGCTGAATGCTGATCTAAAGCTCTACGCAACGAAATGTTATTCCAGTGGAAGCTTGTTCTGTAAAGTGTCATTTCTTCACTGTTATCGCCAGAAGAACATTCGGATCCAAGAAGAACAAACACTGCAGTAGGAATACTGGCCCATACCAGGTAGGTCTCATATCTACCCATTCCCACTAGTGAATTTGTCGGACCTACGTTTAAAACTCAATTTGAGATCGCTTTTTCCAGTTTCTTCCCTGATGTCAAGATTTTTTCTAACTAGGATTTCCTTGAGTGCTAACAACAGGTCAGCCAAGATATTCTCTGTCATAGGACAGTATCCTCACGTCAGTGCTGAAGACAACTAAGTGCTGTACCACAAACACAGTCTGTTACAGGCGAAATGTTTCGAAATAAAGACACTTAACTATTACACATGTGTCTTAATTATCAACTTCTTATTGTATACCACTATCATATTTACAATATATTACCTTAAATCAAGGCTACGACTGTATAAGTGGTTTTTTAGTTGCCAAGATGCTTATAATGAACTGGTTGTCATTTGATTATGACCTCAGTTTCTCTCCAGTTAGGAACACATTACCGTGTCTGACAGTCTTCACAGTTTAGTTCCACGAGTGCTTTCAAATTTTAAGGGCATGTATAAAATATCTTAGATCGGGTTTTCAAGTCCTTCAAGGAACTGTGAGCAATCTTTCAAGGCTACACAACATTATTGGTATACAGTACCGACACAGTGATTAATTAAACACATGTACAACCATTGGGTAGCTTTATTTTGAAGACGTTTCGCCAACCTGTTGTTGCACATGTGTCAATTTTTTCAACGTTTATATATTTTGTTAGGCAGGTGCTGCAGGTCTAACTTTTCCTGGCATGGGGAGACACTATGTTATTTCAGCACGATGCAATGTTTGTACAGAGATGGGTGACATTTTAGCTGGCTTTCTGCACGCACATTTAAAAATATCACCCGTGTTTGTACAAATACTATCATGCAGAAATAAAATATTATTATTAATTATTATTATTATTATTATTATTATTATTATTATTATTATTATTATTATTATTATTATTATTATTATTAATCTTCCCTTTCTGCCATTTTTGTCAATGTATAACCTATCACAACACTAACTCCCAAACTAGATATAAATCTTCAGACGACATTTAGGTCCGCAATGGCCCGCAAAACCTATTTCTTATTACCCATGTTGCCCACAGGGGTACATCATTTCCCAGTGACTGTGCTAACGCTAAACACTCCAGGTGTTTACAGAGTAACACCCCCTAGAGACCGTAGTAAACAAAACAAACTGGTTGGTTACAGGTAAACAACGAACCTCGAAATCAATATCTGACTATAAAAATCCATTACTTGTTTGGCTCCAGGAGCTGACTGCGCAAACATCAGTAAGTTAACAACGATTAGCTGAACTCAGCTGAGTAGCGAGCGTATGTCGTTGTTAGCAGACGGAGGATCAAGCCTCCACCACTCTATGTGGACGATATTTATCCATTAGCAACTGATCCATAATTCAGGGAAGACTTTAGACGTCGTTTCGGTCG